ATTATCCTTACACTTATGTTTACTTCATAACACAACCTGAGGGTGGCGATTTTAGATTTATAAAAAAGGCCTTTAATCAGAGGACAGAAGGCATGTAGTAGACTATGTGTAACAGGTTTTTCATGTTGATTTAGAAGCTGTAGAAATTCACATGGTTAATGTAATGTGTGGCTTTATCGGATTAATTTAAGAACTTTGCTCTGAAACACGAGTCTCACAGATATGATGTGTCCACCCAGGCCGTGTGCAGCGTCAGCGCACTCAATGACTGCACTCAGCTGAGGATAACCCACACCAGTCTTCTTACGAGTGGTGCACACAGAACCTATACACATGAACATATGTGTGAAACTGGTGTAATATGAATCTGAACACCATCTTAAACCGTGCCAATAGACGACTGATGACATCACCTGGTCCAATGCCCACTTTGATGATGTCAGCACCAGCAAGAATCAGCTCTTCAACCATCTCTCCTGTGACCACATTGCCAGCCTACAAAACACAAAAATATATTTCAAAATATTAAGATGACTGTTAACGAGATAATGTCAATAAAATGTTTATCTGTTGTTGTTGACAGGTAACTGACCATAATAGTGTGCGTAGGGAACTTCTGCCTCACATCTTTGACAAAGTTGACAAAGTGTTCAGAGTAGCCATTGGCCACATCCACACATATGTACTGAATCTGAGGTACAGCAGCCACAATGGCCCCCAGTTTCTCAAAGTCCCCATCACTCGTCCCCGTGCTGACTGCTACACTCTGGAGAAACAAAGAAAGCATGTCATCATTTAAATATCAATAATCTAGAGATCTGCTGACTAGATTTAAAATTCTAGCAAAGATGTTGCTCACCTGTAAGCATTCTGGGTGCTTGGCTGCAAACTCCTTCCAGTCATCCACATAATAATGCTTATGGATGGCTGTAAAGAGACTAAACTACAAAAAAAAAAGACAATAATTATTATAACCTGCCATCTGTTAAGAGGACAAAAAGGGCACAAAAAAAGTGAATTTTGTGCATGTTCTGTCTGAAAAGATGAACTTATTTTACTTTTTATTGTTCTGGTCAACTCATCACTAAACTGCGTGAAAACACTCTAGTGTCGACATCATTGCTCATTCCAAACTCTTAAAGTGACCGGCGTTCTTTATATCTTATCAATGTAACAAACACATTACTTTAACTAAACATCAGATTATAAGTCTAACTAAACATGCAACAGTGCACACTTATCATCTGTAGACCCTGAGAAGTCATAGGCCAAAGTACAAAGTCAGAACTAAATTCTGGACATCAATATCAAAAATAATGCATTTTAAACATCTGTTTTTCATGCCTTTTTAATTAAAGAAATTATAGAAAACTGTGCTTTTTTTGACCACTCGACTCTTCATCAGGTTATGCTGACACAAAATATAGAGTTTCTGATAATGTACACTTTTTCTTCCTGTGTCTATACATTTTTTGACATCATGGAGGTGTTTGTTCAGGTTTCTGTTGAGACTGATGTGTTCAGCTGTATAGAAATTAGAAAAGAGTTCATTCATACCTGATGTAAGACTAAGGCCATTTCAAAAGTCCCCACGGTGTCCATGTTGGCAGCTATGATGGGAATCCCACGGTAACTGCCCTTTGAGTTTCTAAATGTAAAATTGCGCATGAGATCCACCTGAAACAGATTAGAAACAGAAGAGTGTGAAAAGTAATGAAAGTGATTGCAGTGGGACTTTAATTAAACTGAGGCCAGACCAAACTAATACTCTATCCCCCGGTTTCATAGACAAGGCTTAAGCCTAGTCCCAGACTAAAATGTAAGTCTGAGCTGTTTCAACTGAAATAAACTTACACTGACTGATCTTAAAATATATCAGTGCCTTTGTTTTGTCTCAAGATGCACACCAGTAATGTTTTCTCTAAGGCGCGTTTATAAAAATTAATTAATTTCCTAATTGAACTATGGCCTAATCCTGGCTTAGTCTAAGCCCCGTCTGTGAAAGGCCTATATGTCATCTATAATGCAAATAAAAACATATTAAGAGTGACTAACCTCACTGCGAGATTTGAGAGTGCTTCTTTTGGGTCGAAGCAGCACGTCCTTGAAGTCGAGCTTGATATCATTTTCAATGCGTGGCATGGCTGCTGAAGAGGATGGCCTTGAGACTGCTCTAACCGTATCTCACTGTCTGCAAAAACACAAGACAAGGGAAAGAAAAACATTCCCACTCCTTCAGTTATGAGAGCTGAGCTGCAGAGGACGAGGAAGAGGGAGGGTGATACAGTGTGAGACAAGAAATATTATTTTTCATAATTATTAAAAAAAAACTCTAAATCTATTATTAAACATTTTGTGATACCAAATAGCTATTTAATTTCAGACAGTAAAGCAATGCACCATCAAAAAATTAAATAAAATGACCCTTAAATGTCTCACATCTGGTTCGGTGTTCTGCACATGTCTTTAGCTGTCAGATAATCTAGGCCACAAGAGCATAATTGATGATTTTCTGTCATCTTGACACTAAATGTTTTTACTGTCCATTACAAACAATTATACGTGTGTCCTTATATATAGACGCTACAAAATAAATGTTGTCCTACCTATAATTGGAGACGAGAACCTCCTTGAAAGGCTGTATGAGAGAGAATGACACCGCTTTCCGTGTTGGAGGCGGTCATTTTAGGAGCGCGGATGTTTACGGCTGTCAGCGCGTGTTCTGTAGTCTTTAAACTGACGGCTTGCGCGTAAATTCAAATTCGAACGATCGGCGAAAAACTACAGACAACGACTGCTTCGCAGCGTACTGTCGCAATAAATGTCGCACATTTTATTTTTCCCTGTCAGTTTGAATTCAACTGAAATATTTTGTTACTTAGAGTTAGTTTAGTAAGTTATGTGTATTTAAATTATAAAATATAAAACAATTCGTTCATTTTACGAAATTCTGTCATCAAAAGCCTCTTATTTTTCCACACAGCCCCTCGGAACGTTTCCTACAGACACTAGAATGGTAGGAATTATTTTTTAGTAACGCAGGAAATTCAGTGGGAGAATTGTGGAAATAATTTGGTTAGAGGTGCCTGAACTTCTACCATCACTTTATTGTATTCGCATTCAATTTCCCTGCATGTATTTCTAGAACAGAAGAAGCTACAATGCTAATTAAAGTCAAGGTAAGAAATTAACGAAGAACAGCTGTTTCATTCAGCCCAGTTCTTATAAAGTATGGTTCTAGTCTGAGCTATTAAATATAGTAAGGCACTGCGAATCAGACAAACAGCATTTTATTACAATGTGAAGTACATAAATGATATTATAACGAACTGTCGCATGTAAATGATAAAAGGAGGGAAATCTTACATCTAAATGAATTAATCGTCCTCGTTGTTTTTAAAGACACTCACTGGCAAAGAAATCGAGATCGACATCGAGCCTACAGACAAGGTACAATAAAAATTGGTTAAGGATTTACAGCAAATATTAAAAGATGATCCCGCAGTCCTTTATATTTTACACAGTTGACAGCAAAGAGCATTTGATTTGATGTGTATTGATGCATCCACCCTATTCAGGTGGAGAGAATAAAAGAGAGAGTGGAGGAGAAAGAGGGAATCCCACCGCAGCAACAGAGACTCATCTACAGTGGAAAACAGATGTAATGCATTAAACGTGCACATTTATCATGCTCTTGTACATTTCTGTATTTTTATTCTAAACCTCCATCTTCTCCACCTCAGGAATGATGAGAAAACGGCAGCTGATTATAAGATCCAGGGTGGCTCCGTGCTGCATCTGGTTCTTGCACTAAGAGGTGGGCGGGTCCACCAGCATCCCAGCAGCCTCCTCACATCTATGTAACCGCCAGTCCTGCCTTGGCCACCTTAGAGATCCAATATATTCACACATGTCGTCAGAAACCATTTGAACCATCTGGACTGATGAGTGGTAGCTACTGCATTCTTTGTTGGAATATTCATCAGCTTTTTTTCCTGTTAATGAACCCCCCTCTCTTTCTTTTTGTTAAGTTTACAAGACGTGTTAAAAATCAAGGTAAATCTGATGTATCGGTTTGTCAATAAAAATTGATGCAACCATTTAAGCATGTAACATTGTTTATTCTTTCATCATTCAAAGGTTTTTCAGGATTTCCTCAATTGCTTTGGCTCAATTCAAAAATATTCCATATATATATATATATATATATATATATATATATGTGTGTGTGTGTGTGTTTTTTGATCATCAAAAAAGTAGAACAAAAAGATCCTTTGTATATAACAAAGGTTTCCAGGGTTGTCTGACAAAAAACATCTAAACATTTTGACCAGTATAGCTCACACAATGACAAAACTTTTAGTTTTGGTGACGTTGGCCAATTTACCGACAAAATAACTAGGTTTTGAAGCATAAGTCATGTTTTGAGTGAGTTACTACATTTTGCAGACATGCAATATAGTTGTGAAGTCCCATAAAACAATTGAATTTATAGTTTAGAGAACAAGATTATTTCAAAATGAGCCAAAGCGATTAAGACAAATTTTAATATACAACCCATGGGGTGACTAAATACCCCAAATAAGTTGAAAAACATCTCAATTCTTAAAGAGTTGTGACAGCTGTGACCTATTGGAACAAGGTGACCATCATCATTCAATCATAGTCATTCTCCTGACTTGCAGTAGGTGGCAGTGTAGCAGTCTTTTCATGTCAGCCTAAATAAACAAGTCTTCCCTTCCTGGTTCAGCATATAGATTTATTTGTCGTTTAATATACACTGTTCAAACAAATACAAAACATATAGTAAACAAGAAGACTCTGGTACAAACCGTTCACCCCCATTAATGTGTAAGTGGTAATTTGAGCTTTGTGGTTTTTATCCTTTTAGACTGTACATACCTTAATATAATCTATAAAAGTCATACTTACTGATATTTATATAATTGTGAGGACAATCAAATATGTGACAGAATTCATTCTGCATGATGATTAAAAAAAGGTCCTAGAGCTTTCCTTCAGGAAAGAGAAAATAAAATGTAAAAGAACAATACCAATTTCATAATGACAAAGGAATATGATTAGAATGGGAAAATCAAAAATATCAAAATATATAAACAGAAATGCGTGTTTTGGTGTGATGAAATACACTTGAAATTAGAAAATGTCAAATTAAAATACAGCTTTGGCTTGTAAAAAAAAAAATTTACTCCTGGGAGTGTTGGTGACAGAAATAAAAAAATAAAGAGGGGGTAAGAATTAGAACATTAGAATGTACTCGATAATAAATAAATAAATAAAATGAACCCTGCCAAGGCGAAGCCATGATGTATTTTGGCATTTTTAGCATAAACTAAACAGAATTCTAATTCTCTGTTTCTCATAGAAAAGAATGTTTCAGAAAGGTCATTGTAAAAAATGCACATCCTTCCAAACCAGTGTTTATAAGTAATACATTCTAGAGCTTTATGTCATTCCACATTTTAATGTTGTAATTCTGTTGCACAACCAATGGAGTAGAAGGCAGTTGCTAAGGGACTAGCAACTAGAGATAACGGAGAACTTTGTAAAAGAACCACATAACCTGTGGAGCAGCTAGTCTCTGTTCATTACTCTGTGCAACCCCCTCTTTATGAAAAGGCAAAATATAGAGGTATGTGAAAAATCTGAGTTTGATTTCCAGTGTCTATCTGAATAAGTCTGGCTGCCTGTATGTGAGTGAATGAGTGTGTCTCCACATGTCTGTTCAGCAGTCAGCTGATTTTGGTGTCTGCTCATCCTCTGCTGACAGTGGAACCGACTGCTCCTTCAGTTCAATCTCCTCTCCAGACTCCTCGTTTTTCTTCTCATCCTCCACCGGGTAGACCACTACACAAAACTTCTGACCCAGGTATGTCATCTTGTCTGAAAACACAAAGAATTCAGTTTATGTGCCATACCTTTATTCAAGATTTTTTGATGAATAGAAAGTTCAAAACCAGTTTTTTGAAATATAAATCTTTTCATTATAAATACTGTCACTTTTGATCAGTTTAATGCATCCTTGCTGTATAAAAGTATTAATTTCTTGAGTGTGAGGTACATAGTTTCTCATCAGACGTAATATAGTGATGTTATCGTTAAGCTACACACATCTTTGAACATCATTGTGTTCAACTTACCAACAAATGTATCGAAACACTGGGGTTTGTTGTCCCAGTATACGCCCAAGAAATAGACAGGGACTCCAGTAAGCATGATGGCCAAGCCAATGCCACACACCACAGGCTCCGAGTACAGAGAGAAGATCAGCAGGAAGGCCCAGAACAGCAGGTAGATGACAGGCCACACCAGACTGATCTGTGAGTAGCAGAAGTAACGTTAGCATTAAGAAGGAAGAATTATCTTAAGGTTTCAGCTTATATGGGACGTATAGACACAGTACCTGGAACTGGACAATCACATTAAGATCACTGAGCAAAAACTGATATTGATTTTTACAATATGTTTTTTTAACACTGGGTTTCAGTAATTCTAAGCACTTACTTTAATTGGCCGGTGCATATCTGGTTGTTTAACCCGCAGCACGATCTGCCCCGCAACAGTGACACCGTAGAAGAGGTAGTTGATGAAACCCACATAGTTGATGAGTGTGTACATGTCACTGGTGCATAGCATCAGAAGTGTTGAGATGCACTGCAAGAGAGAGTGTTTGATGTCACATCATGAAGTCCATTCAAGCTCAACAAAAGTAAGAGTGAGGTATAAAGAAGAGGGAGAGGGGGGTATATATAATACTCACAGTGAAGAGTAGGGCTGGAATTGGGGTGCAGCGCTTCACATGAATCATCGCCAGTAATCTAGGTAGATGACCTTCACGTGCACCCGCGAAGAACAACCTGAACAATGTGAGGACGAACCAAAAATACTGTTATTTAGGATGCCAATATATTCAATAAAAGGGAGTATGTGCAGACACAGACAGACGGAAACAAGATAGAAGGACAGACAGACACAGATAGATGGATAGATGGATAGATGGATATATAGATAGATAGATAGATAGTTGAATCTTGTGTATGAATAATGCATGGATGGATGAATGGATGGATGGAGGGACTGACCGAGAGGAGGTGAAGAGGGAGCCGTTGACCCCCCCAAATGTGGACAAGGCCACAGAGATGGGCATGATCCATGACATCACTCCCAACAGCTTCTCACCAAACGTCTGGGAGAGAGCAACAGAGTGGTGAAGGAAAGAAAAGAGAGACAAGCAGAGGAAAAGAGGACGTTGGTCGAATACATGCATTATCATGTCCATATATCTGTGCTGTTTCCTTCAGAAAGTCATTAGAATAGAATGCAGAAGATTCTGGAGTCTGATATATCTGTTTGAATGGTATATTGGCAGGCATCAAGAGCTCATTCCAAGTATCAATCATAGAACTTTAAATATTGATACTTGGGTAGATTTGTCAAAGAATCTCCTGCATAAAGCAAAACAATGTTCAGTTTGCAGTCTGGTAGTGTCTGAGTGCTAAGAATGGACACAGGTCACTCACCACAGCTACAGCATTAGAAGCCAGCAGCTCCTGAGGGCTCATGGCAGTGACATAAGCAATGTTAGCAAAAACGTACACAAAGGTCACGAGGGGAATGGAGATGAAGATAGCACGGGGAAGGTTCCTGTTTGGAAAAATACAAATCAAGAGTTCATTCAGAGGAAGTACAATGCATTATTTCAGTTAATACAACTATAGGATTCCAGCTGCCACTTCAGAGCATTGTGTAAAATTATGCAATGATCCGTTTGGCTCTTTCTACTTGTACATTTTAATATACTGGAGACCATTCTAACAATTGATCCATTATGTGGTTCTCTGCTGGATATTACAAACTTGTATTTTGTTAACACTAATTAAATATTGAAAACCCAGTATTAAATTGTTGTAAGCTCTTGATGAGATGAGAATTGGCTTACACATATGGGTCGACGAGTTCCTCTGTGACATAATTGAGGAAATTCCAGCCACCGTAGGCGAAGGACCCCTGTAGAAATGCTAAAGCGATCAGACCGACATCATAGTCTTGAAATGGCTCGAAAGCATTGGCCGGCTCCAACCAGTAATACTCGCCTGGAGAAAGAAGAAAGGGAACAATAATGAACAAATATTAAAAGGGGAATTCATTATAAAATGCCTCTTGTTTGTTAGCTAGTTAGTTCATTTTTAGAAAAAGCTTTCACCCGAAACAGCTTAAAGTAATCACAAAAACAGCAAATGAAGGTCAAGTTCCCTGATCAAGGACCAAAATGGCATTGTGATCGTAGTAACATAGTAAGTTTATGCAAATCCAGAAAAAAATCAGCTAGATCAAGCTGGTAGTAACCTGTCTAAACTGTAGAGCATTAAAAAAACTGGTACCATGATGTGATTTTTCCAGCAAGGGGCCTTTGATCAATATGGTCTACCCTCTTTGACAGATTCCCACCAGCTAGTAATCCACCTAAAGCAGCTTGAACAAGTTAGAAACAAGCTACCATGTTCCAAAATACAACTACAACTTTTAACTGGTTTGGGGTGGATTTTTTTGAGCCTACAATCTTTTTGTTCCCTAAGCCATAGTATTAATACCACATTTCTAGGGTCAGGTCTTTGGGTCACATGTACTCTCTGAACTCTCTCTGAGAGCATATGTGACCCTGAAGACCCCACATTAAAGAGCAGCCAGTGTCAACTAACCCAAATCCAGTTTGTTTTAGAGATTCTGCATGGAATCACATCTGTCACTCTAATATTATCAGGTCAGTGTCTGAGCTAACAGGCTGTCAGTAGTGGGATCATTATTGAATCCTTTCTGACGCACCAGCTGTGAAAGCTGCATTATCAGTGTTATTCTTTATTAGAGGTTTCAACCCAGTGACTTCTGCTGAGACAACGAGACAGAGAGGTGAAGTGCTGTGCTTTTAGTTTTTCTGGAGAATTTACAGAGCTACTAGAGCTGAAGCAACATGCCCAAGATAACGGGGAGACACGCATGCACACTTCTACAAATGTACACACAAGAACATGCACGGCACGTAGCTACAAACACATGCACACACACACACACACACTCTCTCTCTGTTATTTAGCACAGACCTTCTTGAATAGCCAGTAATATATTACAAGCACACACACATACATAGACATATGGTGCCTACCCTTGCAGATTTGTACGATGCCCATGATGATGATAAGAATGAGGGCCAGAAGTTTTCCTGCAGTGAAGACATCCTGTACTCGTGTTGCCCAGCGCACACTAGCGCAATTCACCCAAGTCAGCAGCACTGAAACACAAAGATATTGAGGTTACAAGGCTGGTCACACACACACACATTATGAGCCTTTGGTGAGATTAATGGCACTATGCAGTTTGAGCAGTCTAGAATGCCAAAGGATTATAAAATAAATTTTTCAGCTATGAGGAATTAATCAGACATACAAATGATAAACTCGGAATAGACCTTTTTATTATATATAAACATTGGAATGCACTGCAATATCTGAGACAGATAGACAGGTGAAATAAGGTTAAAGTCAATGCAAAATAATTATAATAGGAAATTTTACCTTTACATTTATTGATTTGGCAGATGTTTTTATTCAAAGCAACTCAGTATATGTATTCATATTTCAAATCTACGACTGAGGCATTGCTAGCATCATTCTACTGGAAACTTTCAAGCAGTGATTTTTTACCTCATGATTTAAAAAAGATTACATGGAATATTTGTATATACTTTTTTATATTATTATTAAAAGGTGATTAAAAATTAGGACAACAAAGTAACCAGTTAGAGCATATAAAATATGTTTTCTTATACATTAATATACATTTTTACTTATTTAAACTTTTGTTGATAAAGTTCATGTGCTAAATAACACACTCTAAAAAATGCTGGGTTAAATACAACCCAGTGCTGGGTAAAATAGGGACAAACCCAGCAATTGGGTTGTTTTGACCCAGCGGTTGGGTTACTACCCAGAAGGTTGGGTTAAACATATAACCCAACCGCTGGGTCAAAACAGCCCGATTGCTGGGTTTGTCTCTATTTTACCCAGCACTGGGTTGTATTTAACCCAGCATTTCTTAGAGTGCATGGTCACATGCACAGTCTTCTGATAGCATGTGACAGACATATTTGGTCATAAAATCAGAGGGACGCAAGAAACCTGAGTGTGCAAGTAAACTTTGAGTCTTGCACTTTTGAGAACTTGCAAGACATGCAAAAATACTGCTTCATGATTTGCACTTCAGAGTTCCGCTTTGTCCTTTTTCTTTCACATGCTATTCATGTACTTGTAGACAAGAAATCATTTGAATCACTCACTGCAACAGGTAGTTAAACAGACTGATATTGCTATGTATATTTTATTAACCTATCAATGGAGCAATTACGCACAAAACTAGTGTGAACTGGGCATGAATTGAGATTGTCTGTGTACAGTGGCCAAACACAGTTAGAATTCTTGGCTCTCATTCAGTGTCAAACTGCTTACACCTGGAACAGCATCTAGTCACGACAGTCGCTGACATTACAATGCTGGTCAACTGCAATAAGGTGGAGCGGTGTATTTTGTTACACAAAATCCTTGATATTATTATAATCCTTATTATTGTTTGTGGCTAATGGGACACAAACAGTTTGACAGTGCAAAGCAACACCCTGCCTAATACAATGTGAAGGGAACACAGTCAAACCAAACACTACGAAGCTTTGGGCGAGGAGGTGTAATCCTTTTGTCTTATCTCTGTGTAAAAGGAACACTGCCTGTCTGTACAGAGCAATGACGTGCCTTTAACTAAGCCCAATCGTGTCTTGAGGTAAGGGCATTCTGGGAAATGGACTGGAGAGGACGTCTTAGAAGGTAGTGTTTGTGAAACTCTTTCGGAAACGAAAAATAAGCAGAGACAGGATGAAGAGAGTTATAGAGTGTTTCCTTACAAAATTAAGGTAGTGAAATCTGCAGTACATAGTATACCATGCTAATGCAAGAATGCAGAAACATTCCTATGACAGCAGCACTCTTACTACAATAAGCTGCTTACAGTGGAGGTCACACACACACACACACAGGTCAGAGTTACTCATTTAACATGTTTATCACCTTGATATCCTGGATTTGATGCAAGTACAAACATGTGCTAAACAACTTTTCTCAAATTCAACAGCCTGTTGAAAACAATACACTCATGAGCTCTGTTTTAAAACTTTTTCTTTCTTGCTCTTTACTGTCTACATAGGCATCATCCCAACATAAAATGGATTGATCTGGAACACAAATAGCACATCTCACGCACAGGGCCGTATTAACCATTGGGCTAGGCGGGGCTGAAGCCCTGGGGCCCGAGCAAGGAGGGGGCCCGTGATTGGCTGTGGAGTAGATTGACTGGTCATCTGTAGCGCTGACCACCAAATCCCTACCACGCCCCCCTCTTAGCGCTATTATAGTGGAGCTTTTCCGTAAATTCCGTTAAGAGATTAAAACGTAAAATCTGAATTTGGTTTACCAATCAAATGCATTTATTTAATGATATGTGCACGTATAAATCAAGTGGTTGCTGCCCCATATGTCCGCATTTACCTCAACTCTTCACTCCAATCTGGAAACGGTCGCACGAAGAACAATATTCGATAAGTAAAAATGTCAGCAATTCTGAGAGAAAGGGGCTCAATAAATGAAAACTTTAAAGAGAAAACATAAATGAGTAAAATCCCCAGCTAGGTTATTTTACTAAAGCTGATGGAGTGGAAGTTGTTAGAACAGAGAGTGGACCGCGCACATGGAGCAGAAAAGAAAAAAACACAGCGTCATCATCCCCACAGATTTTAGGTTAGTTTGATTATTAACTTGATGTATGTATATTGGTTTTTGTGTTTGAACAAACTTTATACATGTTCGCTTAAGGGTGGTGAGAAAATCCGGTAGAAATCCTATATTTTTGCGCGTCATGATGTAGGCTAAGCTTATCATTTAAACACGTTTTAAGCAAGTAAAATCAAATGGTTTTAAACTGTTCATGGACATTAAGCAGCAGGGCATGCGTGCGTTGAGGGTTCAGCCTGATATGTGCGGCGCGCACCTGCTTGTGTAGTGCCTGACTAAACTTGAGTTCTTTAAACTTGAGAACTTTTTCGCTCCTTGTGCTTTTAGCTTAAAAGTTCAAATACACATAGTTGCAAAATGATCGTCTTTGTGAGAATCCTCTAAACACAGTTATTTGTGTCTTAAATGAACATTAATAGCTAAAGATAAAGCATGTGTAGTATGAGGCTATATGAGATCCTGCATTATATGATGAGATCTTAAAAGGATAGTTCACCCAAAAAATTAAAATACTGTCATCATATACTTACCCTCAAATTGTTCTAAACCCATTTGAATGTCTTAGTTCTCCGCAACATAAAAATATATTTTGAAGAATGATCATAACCAGTTTCTGGTCCCCGTTGACTCCAATAGTGTTTTTTTTTCATACTATGGAAGTCATGGGGGCCCAGCACCTGTTTGGTTACCAGTATTGTCCCAAATATATTATTTTGTGTTCAACAGCAGAAGGAAACTCATAAAGGGTTAGAACAACAGCAGAATTTTCATTTTTGGGTGAACTATTCCTCTAAAGCAGCCTAATATATCCGCTGTTGTCATTTATGTCAATAATGTGAATCAAACATCAGAAAGAAAATCACAAATACTGTTTTATTTTACTGTTTTGAATTTATACAGTGAAGACTATTCAGTCTATTTGTAAATTTTCTTTATATAATACAATATTTATTATTCAGTGCTTTAAGTTTTTCAAGTAGGTCATTTTCTTATGATCTTTGTTCTGTTGTAGCCTGATTTGTGACTCTTTACTTGTCTTCAGTAAGCTTATTTTTACTTAGGCTAGTATTATTTTTTATTGATATTGAAGTTGGTAACAAAAATAATGAAATTTCAGTGCATCAAGAATTTTGATATGGTATAAAAATCCTATTTAAAGCTTATATATATATTAGGGTACAAGGCGCCTTTGATATTATTTTCATCTAAACCACTGGATGGCACAAAAACGTGGCATAGCACTTTCCAACGCATCAGTTTTTTAAGATGCACGTGTATATTTGTCTGATCTTTGACACGATCGCGTGCAGCAGTGCAAAGTTGATTCTGTGCTTACTTGATCTAATATTTTATGTTTTTAAAAATGTTGTAGATTTAAGTAGCAAATGAGAATCGCTAAAATTAATGCATATATCTTGAGAGAAAGGTCTTCTTTGTGATTTTCAGTTTTGTTTTACATAATTAAAGCAACAGTTTTTAAATAACGAAAGAATAAATTTATTGAGATCACATAAACTTAAGCTAAAACACACAAACATACAGTTCAGAGGAAGGAAAGTCTGTTAACAGAGTTACAGAGTTCATAGTTCTACCTCGTTTTCACGAGTGATGGAAATTCACCTTAAGAATTCACAGAGCAGCGAATCTAAATTCACCAGTTCAGCAGATTAGAGAGTTGTTGTTTACTT